TTTTAATGCTTGAAGAACCAATTGCACTCTCGGCATCATCAAGGGTGATGCCCTCAGTCTCATTTCTACCTAGGGAGAAGTTCACTCATTGGAACTCTTCTTCAAGGTCATGTAGAAGCGCTCACGGAGTTCTCCTTTCTTGTCTCCCAGGCCTCAATGAGGCGCCAAACTCCACAAGTGTAGTCGGCCTCCTTCAGGATGATCTTGTCCTCGTCAGGGTTGTCAGGATCTTCAACAGCTTCTTCCGGCACATAGGCGAGAACTCAAGTGCCCTCATCCTTGCCGACCCTTTCTACTTCATCGCAAACCTGGCAGCTAAGTTGAAACCTTTGGTCTTCGTGAGGTCGATCGAAGACAACCACCAAGTCACCGTCCTCCTGAACTGTCTCCCAGAGAGTCAGCTCTTCCATTCCAAGGGGACAGAGTAGTCGATCCCTTCTCTTCTGGCATTGGTCCTCGGGCTCCGCAAAATACTCCAATTGTAGTAGCCTCGAAAGGTGTCTTCAAGAAAGCCAAAGGTCACCGCAACAACCAGCGTATAGGTGGGCTCAACCAAGGCCGCGTGGATCTCCACCAGGTAGCTCCGCGCAACCACTGCGAACGAAATGGCTTCGAACGAAAGGACGCCTGACTGACAACCTTTCTGCCAGTAGCGAGTTAGCTCAAGGCCTATGGCCGTGGTACAAGCACATGACAGAACCTAGCTGAAACCAAGAGTGAACGCCGACGCACGAATCTTCAAGGTTGGAGGCCATCGCCATCAGGTTGGAGGCCATCGCTATTAGGTTGGAGGCCATCGCTATAGGTTGGAGGCCATCGCTATAGTGGGTTGGAGGCCATCGCTGTAGGTTGGAGGCCATCGCCACTAGTAACAAGAAAGTAAGGGGACTCAACCAAGATTGAACGGCCAATAATTAGGCGCCGTTGGAGTTTAAGCTAACTGCTGGCAAGGAGTTCTTGCCAGGATCTCCAAAACCGAGGTCGTAGGCTCATAGCACCCAAGGGACCAATTAGAAGGGTTGACTTTCGCTATTGAACCGATTTGTTGTCTCTAAATGTTGTCACCGTTAAGCGATGAACTCTCAAAGAATTGTGCGACACGGTCACTTGAGCACAGCCGACATCCGGTCGCAACTCCGTCTTTGATGTGGGGAAGCGAAGGCTTCAAGGATTTCCAAGGACTTCTTGGCGAAACGCTTCAGCCAAAACAACATCGTATTTATAATGTTTTTCCAGTGTGCCACAACGCATTGCAGGAATTGAGCTTCGTACAATGAAAACTGTTTTGCCAATCCCATTCAGTTCTTTTTCAGCTTTGCAGGGTTCACAAAAACTGCGGCGGGAAAGGAAATGGAAATGGATCTTCTGAAGCGTTTGTGGAAATGGAACGTTTTATTCCCGAAAGCATTGCGAAGGGTTCTTCCGGAAAATCCTTTGAACACTGACACTTCGACACTTACACTTACACATTGACACTTTCACCACACTTGCACGACAACATGAACGCTATGCACGACAACATGAACGCTATACGTAGCTCTGTGTAAGTGGAAGAGCGAAAGCAGTGAAGTGCAAAGTATGCAATGCAAGTGTCAAAGTATGCAAGTGGAAGTATGCAAGTGTAAGTATGCAAGTGATGAGTATAAGCATGCAATGAGTATGCAAGCATGCAATGAGTAGGCAAGTGTGCACGGGAGATGTCCTGATGAAAAAACATTTCCCCACTTTATAAATTCTCTCTTAAAGGCGGAGGGTGGGACGAACAGCGTCAACCGAAAGTGCAACCCTCTGCGGAGATCGTGCGTGTCGAGTGCGCGAAATGCAGGTGACGGCTGCCCGCGCAACCCTCTGCGGAGATCGTGCGTGTCGAGTGCGCGAAATGCAGGCGAGAGTGCGATTTGGCGGCTGTGCGCGCAACCCTCTGCGGAGATCGTGCGTGTCGAGTGCGCGAAATGCAAGCGAGCGCAATTTGTGAAATTACCGCGCAACCCTCTGCGGAGATCGTGCGTGTCGAGTGCGCGAAATGCAGGCGAGAGCGCGATTTGTGAAATTACCGCGCAACCCTCTGCGGAGATCGTGCGCGTCGAGTGCGCGAAATGCAGGCGAGAGCGCGATTTGTGAAATTGCCGCGCAACCCTCTGCGGAGATCGTGTGTGTTGAGTGCGCGAAATGCAGGCGAGAGCGCGATTTGTTAAATGACCGCGCGACCCTCTGCGGAGATCGTGCGTGTCCGAAATGCAGGCGAGAGTGCGATTCGTTTAGCAGCGGAGCAAGCTGTGGAGCTGGAAGCTGAGAACTGGCGACTTCGTGGCGCAACTTTAGTACGCGGAGTAGCTGGGGAGCTGGAAGATGAGAACTGGCGACTTTCTAGTACAACTTTAGTACATGGAGTAGCCGGGGAGCTGGAAGATGAGAACTGGCGACTTGGTAGTACAAAGTTAGTACGCGGAGTAGCTGGGGAGTGGGAAGATGAGAACTGGCGACTTTGTAGTACAACTCAACTTTAGTACGCGGAGTATCTGGCGAGTTGGAAGATGAGAACTGG